AGCTGCGGAAAGTTCTTCGACGGCTTCTGACCGATCGGAACGCAGGATCCCAGTAAAACCAGTAAAAATGCAGCATTTTTTTTTTTAAATAAACAAACAACACAACGAACTAGCGTTCCACACTCAGTTACGAGATGCTGATGCCAACTGATGCTGGTGTAAGTGTTGATAGATCTGCTCTGACCATGCGTGGAGGTTAGAAGAGCAGAGATGCTGACAGCAGGATGTGTCACGCTGTGACTGATAAGCAAACACACACACACACACACACACACACACTCACACACACACACACACAGAGAGGGCGGACTGTGGTGTTACACACTGTTCCACCACCGAACAGGAAAACCAGGCCACACATTTCCACTGCGTAACAGAGGAATGAAGAAGTGGCTGAAGTTTCAGACCCACGTGGTGATAATGTACAGAAATGACCTTCTACAGATTCTCACAGCAGCTCTTCTCAGAGCTTCTGCAGTTCCTCTCACGTGGCCTTCTCATGTTCGTGTCGGTGAAGTGGAACGTGTTCTCACCGGCCTCTTTGCCACAGTACAGAGAATTATCCGTCATGGAGACGTCGTCGGGTTCGGGCGGTAAACTGCTGCATCTCGTCGCTCCTCTTTCGCTCCAGTTCATCTGCAGAACCAACACAATGGCAGAAATGATCACATGACCGTGTGTGTGTGTGTGTGTGTGTGTGTGTGTGTTTAGTCATTCTTGAGTCATGTTCTCTTCTGTAACAGCTGAAGTCACTTTATTCTGTGTTGCGTAAAACGATTTGTGGAGTAATAATGGACGATTTACGTAAGACGTCGGTGCAGAGTAGTGCGTTATCTGTTAGCGTCGCGGCTAACAGCGTATCGACGATGTGGAAAAGTGGAGGATTAGAGAGATTCGAGGGTTGTGGTCGGAGGTGCTGGGGTTTGATCTCACCGACCTTCTGGTCAGACGTCCAGCGTCTTAACCACCGAGCCACCACACGTGTGATGTCTCGATCGCTACGTGAGCTCGTGCAGATTCAGAACGTGCGGTGTTTCCTGTCAGCGCAGGTCTGCCGTTAGAAGAGCTCGGGATCCGGTACCGCGTAACGGTCCATTCTTTTCCAGTGTGTTACGTTTACAGTGCACGCGTCACGTGGAATCGACCGGGATCTAATCCGTATGAATCCGATGATCAGGGTGTATTTCTCCGTCTGATTACGGTGTGAATTGGATCTCTGAGGTTTGAGGAGTGGAAGGGTCCGTCCCCCATAAGCACGTTTTTATTTTTAGACTGATTTCATGTACTGCTCCATGTGACCGTGCCTGACCTTAACCTCCGGTCGAAAACGGCACCGAAACTGCTGATTTAAAGCGACGGCCCGCGTTCACGTACGCTAGTTACACAAGTTCACGTTCAGACTCGCGGAAAGATCTGAATCTGGAAGGTTCCCTTCCTCTAAAACGCGGACGGTCCGCAGCGCTCGTACAGGGACGCCGAACGGAATAAGCCCTGTCGTCCTTAATACAGGGACGCGAAGGAGACGTTTATTCGACACGATCGGAAGGAGTCTCCAGCGTCGGAGGCGTTAAGTTTACGCTTCGTTGCGGTTTCTCGGCTGCGGTTGTTTTTTTTTGTTTTGTTTTTTAACTTTAAGAGAAAGAAGAAGAAAAAAAGGAAGTAGGATTAGGAACTAACTTTACACGACATTGAACGCAACTATAAATGGATCAGGAATAAAAATAAGTCGGACGTCGAGATTTTTGACACCGCTGCGTCTCGCCGATCCTGAACTTCGTGCTCGTCTCAGGTCTCTGAAGACTCACTGATATAATCCTCTGTGGAGTCAACCTACAGGACACACTCAACCATCTGTCGTTCTGTACTTTCACACGCAACACTCACACGCCGAGCGCTAACCGATGCGTTGAACAACTCGACATTAAGGGTTGCAGCAGCAGACGTGAGTGAGAAGTTACTTACAGGAAATGCAATTTCACACAGTCTCTGCATCCAGTCGTCGACTTCGTGCACTTCGACAGCGAACACGAACGTCTTCTCCGTGGTTTCCACCAAGAACGCCTTGCAGTCCTTCGGGCAGCCGTCTACATCCGCAGCCTCGGACACGCGAATGCAGTCGCTCAGTCTGATGATCTGCGAAGACGTTAGAGCGCGTTTTTACACGTGTCTCGCATCATACGCGCCAGCGTTGCAGTGGGAGAACAGAAACTAGGCGCATGAATCATCCCACAGCGTTCCACACGGCGCCGAACTGAACTCACGAGTCAGTCCGCTTGCGCGTTCCGCACGATGAGCTTCCTGAAGAGATCATCGTGTGTTTACGTGGAATCGAGAGAACCGCGTGTGATGGAAACGTCGCCGCTGTCGGCGCACGCTCGGCGCAGGAGTGCTGATCTTTATCGCTCACCTTTTTGTTGTCCTGCTTGCTTTTGCATTTCTCCAGCGTGCCGGTCCCGCCATCTTTACACTCGAAAAACTCGAGGCGTGAGATGGAGCAGGTGCTCTCCCGGTACAGGATGGACCACACTTTTCTCCACTTCTGCAAAAAAAAAACCAAAAAAACAACAAAACCAAATACATATAAACCCCAGAACCGATCGATTGGTTTGTTTCAAACACAGGCGCGGACTTTCCGTTATCAACCCAAAGTCTTCTTCGGTTTGTCCCGATGATAAATCCCACGCTGGCCCTGAGTGCAGCTTCATCGACCGATATAATCCAACGCGTCCTCGTCCCGCCCGTCACTCCAACGTCTACCTCGTTATTCCGACCGTAAAAGATTTTCATGGACTTTGCATCATCGGTACACGTTATAATACCCGGCGTCCGATTTGACCTCGTTAAAAAAAAAAGATCTATATTTTTCGGTGAACCGAACCTGACCCCCGTGAGGTCCCTGGACTCCGATCTCTCCTCTCTGACACGTACAGCCCTAAGTGCAAATCCCTTAAGGTTTCATCTAGAACCTCGGGTTTCTTCATCAAAAAAAAATAAAATAAACGCTTTCGGAAATCTTAAACCCGTCGTCCTGCTGAAGAACCGTCGGGGAGCGTTTTCTTACAAAATCCTGACGTGTGGATATCTGACGGTTACGGAATGTTTCACGCGTGCCGTATGTTCCGTAACGTCTCTGATCTCAGAGCGCACGTTAAACCAGAGTAAAGGAACTTCGAGATAATACAACAATTCATTTTTCAGTCCTCACACGGTTCTGAGATAAAGATCTGCACCCGAGCGTCGAATAATAATAGAATCGTTTCAGGATGCGGGTCGTGACCGCGGCGTGAGGAGCGTGTCGGTTCAGGCTTACCTTTCCGAATCTTTGCTGCTGTACATACAGCATACCCTGCTTCCTAATGTCCTCCTCCATGTCGGTCCGTTTCACGCCGCGCTCGCAAACAACTGCGAGCTTCTTCCGCCGAGCGGAGATGTAGCACCCTTTCCTGCATATTTGCGTGTGACGTAATCAACATCTCCGCCATGAGTTCCGCCATTTCTACATCCTGTATAACCCAGACGAGTTGTTTCACAACGCCGCTGCAAGCAGAGATACGCTTGACGTGCGTTTCTCTAAAACGACGGCGATAAGCACACTTCCAACGTCAACACTTAGTTCCTTCTCTGTATTCTGTGTGTGTGTGTGTGTGTGTGTGTGTGTGTGTGTGTGTGCGTACTCGTCGACAGTTTGCACAGAGATGTGCACTTTTTTTTTATTATTTGATTGCACATTTTCACAAGCAAAGACAGACGCTTTGTGGTTGGTTAGAAAGTATTGATGAAGCTCTGTTTTTGTCTCACACACACACACACACACACACACACACACGAGGGTCAACACGATTTGCATGCCTCAAAAGATTTAACAGTTGAGGTGTCATCTCAACACTGTGGTCAGCTGCTCTTGCTGACATCCTGTTTCCACTGTCAGAAACACACACACACACACACACACACACACACACACACACACAGTGTTCTTGCTCGTTAAAATTAGACCTGCTCTACTAATTTCTTCCAAAATAAAAAGAAAACCATCCGAGATAACGGAACTCGTTCTGATGAAACTCTTTCCTATTCGAAATGGCTTGGCTCTCTGCTGCCCCTCGGAGGACGTGAAGGTAGATAACGTCCGTTACAAGCACACTGTGTGTGGCACAATCGTGTCTATCTTGAACGGTCTCTGATCGATTTTCCACGTACACGGTAATCCTGGAGGCTTCCGCAACATGCCCTCGAAGGCCACAGAGCCTCATCGCGCATGGCCTCGACGAGTTTCTCGATGTGCCTCGATGCGTTTCGTGCTGAGATAGGGATGGTGATAGGGGTGAATCACGAACGCGTTCGGAACAGTGTTTCAGACTTTTGACGGCAGAACCTGGAAAGCCATCGAGACGGCCTGTGTACGGCAGGACTCCAACCCCGTTCAGAGGGGCGTGAAGCTTGTGTGACCACCTTGTTTTATCTCAGCACCTTTTCATACATGACGGTCGATGGAAATTCACAGTAAAGCATCAGGACAGACTTCACCAGAACCTAATGGGAATCTTGCACGACACCACTGGTGCTTGTTTTCGGTGTGCATGATGAAGACCTGCAGTACAAGATAAACATCTTGGTGCCCCTTTGATCTAAAGTGCAACAGGCAGTTTATTATGCACAGCAATAGCTTTCAGGTTGACGTACACCGCTGCCCTCTTCTGGCAGACTCTGTAGCAGCACTCAAACACAGTTAACAAGAACTTGAATCTCGAGTGACACCACGTTGTTTTAGTTCCCTTGACTGACCTTTTCACACACACGACAGGATCAAACTGACTCACAGCAGTCCTGGAGGCTTTTTCAACATGCCCTTAAGGGCAACAAAGCATCAGGATAGACTTCTCTCTATCCTGGAATCAAACCCAGCTCACAAGAACCTACACCATCTTGACTTGTGTGCATGGAAAAGTGACCTGTGACCTGAACAACAGGCTGTAATTTCTTATGCCATCGCTATACACCGACCCAGATGGGACTCAAACCCACAATCTTCAGCTCCGAAGACTGATGCCTTCTCCATTAGGCCACTGGGCCTTCACGGAGAAGTTTCCAGATACTTCACTTCTTAATCCTACATCAGACCCACATTCCTCGACTCTGCTTACATTTGTTTTGAATCAGAAACACATTGGGATTCTGCAGTTTGTTTCTGCGGTATAAACAAACGTTCTGTAACGAATCGAGCTCAAACGAGAGTCTAATGGTCTCCACATTCCTCCGTGGGTGCGAAGGAAGACGTAGTTTCAGCTCTGTGCCTCAAATGACTTTTCTTTTTTTTTTCTACTTCTCAAAAGTAAGTGTTTTGATGTCTTTGAGGAATCTCTGGAATATGAACCTTTTACCGCGCCTCGTCCTCCTTACAACTCCCGGTTAACGGATTCGATCCGTCCTTCGGAAGAAGTGAATGTCTGGAAACGCTGACCTTTATTCAGACAGAAGACGTTCTCCTGGAGAGTCTGGAGCAATTTCCTGATGTCCACCATGTGGTAGTGGCTTGCGAGTCCGTGGAATGTTCACTGCAAGCAGGAAACAGGAAGTGAATTTACATTCCGCGTTCACACATTGTTTCGTTTTATTTTCAGCTGTTTTTCCTCCACAGGACACAATCTAACCATTCATCCGTCCGTCCTTCCTTCCATTCATTCGTTTGAATGCCTACATGGAGCTGAACTGAACTCGTCTCTGTGCCACTAATGTCTTTTCATTGAAGGACATTAACGGCTGCTTTGGGAAAACAGGGAAGCCCCCTGCTCCGGCTTCTGGGCTTTCTTCCAGTCCCACAATTACTTCTCCTGTGTTCCTGTACGAGTCTGACGGAAAGTGGACAGGACTGAACTGATTCCATAGAGGCGAGTTAACGCTGCGGTTCTAATCAGACTCTTGGAGGAAAAACAAGAGTGTAGAAACTCTTCTCCCCCTCTAAACTTCTCCAACATCGACCCTGTCGGACTAATTTTAACCCGGCAGGAGTCTGATCACTTTTCCAGATATCAAACATCCAGACACAAATACAAACGAGCGAAAAAAACAAGGTTTTTGAGAGTGTTTTATTGTAAATAAAGCAAGCGGAAGGAATAAAACAACTTGTAGCGACATGGACATGAACATGAACGGTTCCTCGATGTAGGGCAGGGGGAACCCTGTGGTTTTGAAGGTCTCGAGTTCAAACTCCAGCACTACCAACCTGCCAGTGTTGGGCCCCTTGGTCCAGGCCCTTATCCCTCAACCGCTCTAATGAATAAACCAGATAAATGTAAGTCGCTCTGGATAACAGCGTCTGCCAAGCGCCGTCAAAATGGACTCTTTATATAAATACAAGTATAGATAAGTACTAAGCAAGATATTGAATAACGTACACATACGTATAATAAATAGACCTATATCGAGTCTGAATCAAATTTAAAAACCCCCTCAAAGATGGCTTTAAGACCGAAGCTCTTAAAGAAAACCAGCTGTGGACGACGCTCCGCCTCCGCCTGGGCCTCGAGCACATATGGAAAAATACAGACATTGAAGAAAGGGATATATTGAGAATGAAAATAGAGCGGAGAGTTCCGGCGCATCTGGAACGTTCTCTGAGTTTTACGGCCTACATCACAAGAGGACATATGAAGAGCAGTCGTTCAAACAAAAAACCAAAAAAAGACATGTTCATCCTTCTGAGTAAAGCGTCCATCTGGGACGCGCTACGTCCGTCAGGGTGGCTCTTCGCGTTGTCGTGTGTGTTTTTCTCTCCCGTCGCCGTGCTGCGTCCGTCGTGTTCCTCTCCGAGTTCTGAGCGGGTCGTGGGTCCAGGTGTCGGGTCTCTCGCTTCTAGTCTTCGAGTAAGAGTTCCTCGAGTCTTTTGCTCGAAAGCGCTTCAGTAATAGTCTCCGTCGTAGTCTCTGATCGGATCGTATCCCGTCAGCTCCTTCACGCGTTCTTCTAAATACGCAGACATCTCGCCTAGGACGAAACGAAACAATGGGTTTGTTTAGATCAACGTCGTGAAAAGGCATGTTCGGAGTTTGTACGCGTTCGGCGATGGTTTAGGGTTATTAAATGGCGTGAGGCGAGGCCAATCCTGGCTACATCGGTCACGTTATGTGGTTATAAGATCTTCTAATGATCAACGTGTGATTATAGGGAACGACTCACGAAGAAACCCTCAGGAGAACGGAAGCAGTGTTAAAGTGTAAAGTCAGTGTCCGTGTGCTGGCCCGTTACCCGGTGGCAGAATCCCCAGCACCGCAGTGGCCGAGACGTTTCCCAGCTCGTTCTTGGCGACGCATCTGTAGGTCCCCGAATCGTCCCGAGTCGCGTCCTCGATCTGCAGCCAACTGGAGAGCTCGTATTTCTGAGGCCCTCCTCTGGACTGCGGAGGACGAGGGACGTGTGAGTACATACAGAATATACACCGATTACATCCCAGATCACGTGCACGAACGTGACAACACGTTAACGTTTCAAACTGTTCACCTGGACAGATATGTGAGGATCGTCTCCAGGCAAAACCACCTCCTTTCCGTCTTTCCTCCACTCCACCAGCGCCATGGGGAAGGCAAAGACCTCGCACAGGAACACTGCACTGCTGCCGGTCACGTTCACCAAGTTACGTGGAGGGACTTTGATGACAGGAACTTACAGAGAAGAGAGAGAGAGAGAGAGAGAGAGAGAGAGAGAGATCAGACAAGGGATCATGTTCAGAAGCTATTTCCTCTCAGTAAAGCTTTAGAGCCACTGGGGTGCGTCCGGCTGCGTTCTTCAAAGGTCATAAATCTCCTCTCGAAAGCCAACAGGAAAATTATAGGCTCCAGAAAGCCCAAAATTCCCAAACAGGCAGTTAAAGGGTTTAGGAGAGGAAAACATTTGTAAGAGAACACATAAGCTGTTAAAAAACAAAACAAAAAAAAAAACAACAACAACCCACAAATATCTAAGAGCGACTGTGTGAAGAACTTCTGAATTCATGTGTGTGGAATTTATTTCATTCGTTCTGATCAGAAGAGTTTCTATTTTCCGTAACGCTGCTCCGGCAGTATGTTTCCGTTTCTATAGTAACCGCTCGTTCCTGTACGGTGTGACCGGTACGCTGGACGCGACACATAGACGCCGTAATCGTCGACACGGTGACGTTTTCTGTAACGTTTACGGAAGGAGTCTCCAGTGTCAGCGCTTTGTAACAGTCCGGGGTAAAGCTGGGATTTTAACTTTAAGAGGAGAGGGGGGGGGGCAGATAGAGAGAGAGAGAGAGAGAGACAGAGAGAGAGAGAGAGAGAGAGAGAGAGAGAGAGAGAGAGAGAGAGAGAGAGAGAGAGAGAGAGAGAGAGAGAGAGAGAGAGAGAGAGAGAGAGAGAGAGAGAGACAGAGACAGAGAGAGAGAGAGAGAGACAGAGAGAGAGAGAGAGACAGACAGAGAGAGAGAGAGAAAGACAGAGAGAGAGAGAGAGAGAGAGACAGAGAGAGAGAGAGAGAGACAGAGAGAGAGAGAAGACAGAGAGAGAGAGAGAGAGAGACAGAGAGAGAGAGAGAGAGAGACAGAGAGAGAGAGAGAGAGAGAGAGAGAGAGAGAGAGACAGAGAGAGAGAGAGACAGAGAGAGAGAGAGACAGAGAGAGAGAGAGAAGACAGAGAGAGAGAGAGGACAGAGAGAGACAGAGAGAGAGAGACAGAGAGACACAGAGAGAGAGAGATACAGAGAGAGAGAGAGACAGAGAGAGAGAGAGACAGAGAGATACAGAGAGAGAAAGAGAGAGAGAGAGAGATACAGAGAGAGAGAGAGAGAACAGAGAGAGAGAGAGAGAGAGAGAGAGAGAGAGAGAGAGGCCGGTGAGGGAACGAGCGTTTGTAGCTGCTATAACGTAAGTGAGACAGGAAGAACCCTGTCCAGCGTGCACCCCGCCTTGTGCCCGACGCTCCCGGGATGTTCTCCAGGTTCTCCGTGACCCTGAAGGACAAGCAGTAGAATAGATAAGACCGGACGGACAACAGGAAGTGACGTTTTAAAGACGTCTCACAGCATTACACGTGTGAACATGGTAAAGGTTGACAAGTTGCTGGTCCGAGCGGAATCAAACACTCGGTCACGTGCCTGTATGAGGAACAGAGTCCTCCCGGAGGGTCAGTGGGTGGTGTACCGCCGGGTTTAACTCTCACACTGGACTTTTTTATGCAAATTAGCCTCGTATAAGAATCAGTAAATGTTTACCGTGCTCTGATCTCAGGGACTTTTCGGCACGAACAACAACAACAACAACAACAACAACAACAACAACAACAAGTTGCTCGTACCCGTGCTGCACGGCCCGCGGCTGGAGCTCAGTCCCGGTGCGGAGAACGCGGCTTCCCTGAACGCGCAGACGTTGGTGTAGGTCCGAGCGTCTGATCCGCACACGGGCTCCTGAGACGCGCACGCGCACTGCGTCTCCCGCGTCTCTCCGTCGGTCTTACACTCGAGTCCCTCTCCACAGAGACCGTAGTAGACGCCTCTGTCTCCGGGGTCGCACGGCTGTCCCTCCAGACCCCCGCACTCGAGGCAGCAGCCGCACGAGTCGCGCACGAGCCCGGCCCGGCAGCCCTGCGCCGGCGGACACAGCTCCGGGACGCACCGCTCGCACGCGCTCCTCTCCTCCAGCGCCTCCGCGCGGTAGTCACCGAGAGCGGCCAGGTCTTCATCCGCCTCGTCGTCTGTGTAGGACGGGAAACTTTCCCCGGGCGCGAAGCTCAGTGGAAGAAGAACAATAAGCAGAAGCATCGTGACCCCACTGCTGTGTGCTGATAATAATAATAATAAGAAGAAGAAGAAGAAGAAGAAGAAGAAGAAGAAGAAGGTGGAGAAGGAGGAGAAGAAAGGACACGGTTCTCCTAGTCGAATCCGAGCGCAAAGCGGAGCTGACGCCCAGACGGGGCTGGAGGATCTCCGGTGTCCCTCTGTCTCACACACACACACTCTCACACACTCTCACACACACACACGCGCGCGCGGGAAAGAGGGAACGGAGGAACCCCCTGAGCACAGGGAGAGCCAGACACTCCTCTCCTCCTGAACTCCGCCAC